AACAACAACAACAACGTATAAATATAAATTAAGGAGCTCTGGTAGTGTAGTGGTTACAAGTCAGGCTGCTAACCTCAAGGACAGCAATTTAAAGGGGAGAAAGGTGAAGTGTTTTGTTCCCATAAAGATTTACAGCCTACACAGGGTCACTATGAGTTGGAATTGACTCCACAGCACATAACCAACCAATCATATGCAAAAATTAGCTTCTGATTATTTTAGAGCTCTGCAAAGCAGTAAAGATGGCATACAAATAAGAGACTACAAAGGAATTTTCATCTTTATCATTGATAAAATTAATGAGATTTCCTGGTTTTAGTGTACATGTCAACTCTCTGAGCTATAATTTTTTTTTTACATAATTCTCTTTTCATCTTACATATTCAGAGTAATCAAACACACTGACCATATTCACTTCTGAAAAGCTAAATGCGCATATGGCCCTGAGATATGTGAGTAGTGAAAGCTTCAATCAAAATATCTTCCAGATGTAATACATCAAAGTTAACACTTAAAATGAGTCTTGCCATAAGCATCTATATTTAAGACATACATGTCATAGTCTTCAGCAATAAAAAGGATTCCTGCTGGTGCAATGGCTAAAGTACTCAGCTGCTAAACAAAATATAGGTGGTTTGACCCTATCAGCTGCTCTACCAGAGAAAGATATGGCAGTACACTTCTGTAAAGATTTGCAACCTTGGAAACCCTGTGGGGCAGTTCTACTCTGTTGTACCTAATCAGCAGTGGGTTTGTTTTCTTTGGGCTTTCTTATTTAGATTAGTGTCCTGTTTCAGAAAGGATAGGTTTCATACCATTGCTTAAAATGGATTTAACTCAATCATACCCTATTACATGTAGTTCTATAATAGACTAATTCTCATTCAAGTACATTCAGCAACTTCGAAGCCAACCATTTGAATGATAATCAAAAATGACAAAATTTAGCTATGGAACTTACCTTGGTTAGGTGAATGACTCCTTTAGAGGTAACTGAACAACCCATGAAGCCAACATACTGAAGCTCTGGACAGTGCTCAGCAAATGCCTTCACTGATTGATCTGTCACCTAGGAGAGACACACAAAGAAAGTTATTCAAGGTGACATTCCAATAAACTCAAGGATTTGGCTCCTAGTGGTTACGAATCAGGCTGCTAACCTCAGGGTCATCAGTTCGAAACTACCAGCTGTTCTGCAGGAGAAAGATGAGGCTTTCTGCTCCTGTAAAGATTGACAGCCTCGGAAACCCTGTACAGGGGTCGCTATGAGTCGGCACCGTCTCCACGGCACATAACAACAACAACAATTTCGCTCTGCCCAATCTTGCATCATTAATATATACTTTTCCATTGGTTCACTTTAATCAGCATACAAACATGCTATAATATCTCCTATGTATTGGCAAAAAAATTTATTAATCTTCTTTTGATTCATCTCCTCATTCCTCTGTATCACTACCTGATGTTTCCACCCTCTTTTATCGAAAACTACTCAGAGATGCTGACACTGGATATTTCTGATTCTTCATCTTCTGCTCTCTTTCTTAATATACGTCTTTATTGAAATACAATTCATATACCATAAAATTCGCCCTTTCAAAGGATATAGCTAATTCAAAGAGCTGTACAATTATCACCAATATAAAATTCAAGTACATTTTACTTTTAATAAGGGAACCAGGTCATTGTTAGCACTCACTCCTTATTTCCTCCTGTCCTAGACCCTGGCAACTGATAATCAACTTTGCTCTATGGATTTGTTAGCTTAGGACATTTTATATGGAGGGAATTACATAATTTGTGACTTTTGTGACTGACTTTTTTCACTCAGTATAATGTTTTCAAAGTTTATCCATGTAGTAGCATATTTTAATGTTTCATTTCCTTTTTATTGCCAAATAACATTCTATTATATGAATACACCACATTTTCTACTCTCTTTTCATTCACTTACTTATGGTATAACTTACACTTCTTGGACTCACTCCCCTTCCTTACTGGTACCTCTTCTCAGTCACTTCGTTTCATTCATCTCATCTGAGTTCTCATCGCATTTCTCTTTTCTGCCTATGACGGTTCTCTAGATAATCTAATATGATCTATGAGTTTAAATCAAATTATAGACTATGGCCTTCATATTCATATCTTTAACCCAAACCTCTGGACTCTATTTCAAACTGGCATATCCACCTTCCTGCTCGCTCCTTTAGAAGTCTATAGATACATCAAGCTTAAACTGTCCAAAGGAGAAACATTTCTTTTCAGACACAAACTGCTCCTCTCCAGGATTCCTAATTTCAATGAATGGCACACTTCTATATATCCAGTTATTCAAGTCAAAATATTTTTCACTCAAAACACCATATTTTCTTCAAAACTATCCTAAATCTTGCTATTTCTCACTTCTCTCATCACTATCACCTTAGTCTATTGTCAATATCATCTCTTACCTGAACTACAAAAATACCCTCCTAAACCATTGTTCTTGCTTCTACTTCAGTTCCTCTATTGCTTGTTCCTCACACAGCAGCCAAAAGATCTACCCTGTATCTGACTCCCCTATTCAAAACTCTCCAGTAAGTTCTCATTACATTTACAACCCAAATTCCAATCAGAATTCAACTCCTTTCATTTCCTCCATACTTCTATGCATCTTGCTTATTCAAACCATTGTGGGCTCAAACTATTCCTCAAATATGCTAAGCCTATTTAAGTCTCAAGGACTTGAATATATATTTATCTTCCCTCTGTCCCAAATGCATCCCCTACCACCCGCCACTACATTCACTTCTCTTCATTCTTTTTTCTGTTCAGTATGAACGACGGTGACTTTCCCTGGCATCACTAGAAAACTAACACCAAAGAACTCCCTCAGTGATTCTCTGTCCCTTAAATAAAATAAGTTTATTTTTATTTTATTCATCACAATTATCACTACTTTGCATTACTGTTGTTGTCAAGTTGTTTCTGATCCATAGAAACCCTGTATAGTTTCCTAGGAGTGGCTTGTGGGTTTCAACCACCAACCTTGCAATTAGTAGTCCAGTGCTTCTACAGTGCCACACCAGGAATCTGCTAGACATTATACTATATACTTTTCTGCCTATTCATTTTCTTCTTTCTACACCAGAACAAAAACTCCAGGCAGGGACTCATCGTCTCCCCTTCCACTAGAGGTTCAACCATTCCATGTGCCTAGGGCACTTCTGAGGTTAGCAACGAAAGCTCCATATGATAGAAAACCCCTCACTCCTAGGCTAACTGGTTTGGTTTTCCTACCCTTCACCCAGTCCCAACTCTTATACCATCAGCACACAGAACACTGCTGACATTTACAGAAAGCCAGTGAGTAAACAAAGACAGGGTTAAGTAGAAGAATGGTTTTCCTTCTTTATCCCTTCCCTACTTCATTAGACTTATTGTCTTTCTTATAACTCTGGTAGCATAGTGGTTACAAGTCGGGCTGCCAGCCTCAAGGTCAGCAGTTCGAAACTACCAGCTGTTTCGCAGGAGAAAGATGAGGCGTTCTGCTCCCATAAAGATGTACAGCCTCAGAAATCCTATGCAGGGTCACTCTGAGTCGAAACCTACTCCACAGTACTTATCAACAACAATAGTTATTTTTAGACCAAGTATATATTCCGGTAGTGTAGTGGTTACGAAACCGGCTGCGAACTGCAAGGTCAGCAGTTCGAAACTACCA